GGCGCTGCAGGCGCGCCAGGCACGACAGGTGCCGTGGGCGCGGCAGGCGTGGAGAGGGCGCGGCAGGCGCGACACGCGCGGGAGGCACGACAGGCACGGGCAGGGCGCAGCTGGCGCTATGCGGGGCAGCGCGGCAAGCGTAGGGCGGCACAACACGGTAGGCGCAGCACACGCAACAGGTGCGGTGGGCGCGGCAGTCGCGGACAAAGCACGGCAGGTGCGACGGCATAGGCAGGGCGCGGCTGGCGCTGCGAGGCAAGCACGAAACGGCACGACGCGACATGCGTGGCAGGCACAGCAGGCGCAGCAGGCGCGACAGGCACGGGCAGGGCGCGGCAGGCGCTGCGCGGGGCAGCGAGGCAAGCGTGGGGTGGCACGGCAGGGCAGGCGTGACAAGTGCGGTAGGCGCGGCTGGCGCGGCAGGCGTGGCAGGCGCAGGCAGGGCGCGGCAGACTCGGGAGGTGCCGCATGCGCGGGCTAGGGCTCGAGCATGGGGTAGGGCGCGGCAGAGCCGAAGAGGAGCTAGGAGCCAGTAGGGCCTATGGTTCGCTAGGGCTAGGGCTAGGTCGAGAAGTCAACAGGGACTACCTAGGGCAAAAGCGTGGAGGCAAGGGTCTAACCTAGCTTTGTTACCATGTCAGAATGAAAGAACTGAATGTCTCGAACAGAAACAGAACAGATCTCGAGTATTGGGGTTGTCCCCATTACAGTCTGCATCTAGCTAGCCTGCAGTACATACATATATCTAAATAGTATATATCCGCTAACAGCCATATGCTTACAGCATATCCGCTGTCTTGATTGAGTTACCTACAGCCACGACTGTTTTCGCAGTGCCAGCGTGGCAAAAGCCGCCCAAAACTTCCACAAAATGGTGGAGCCCTTGTAAGCAAAAGAGCTGAAAGGAATAAATAGGTAAGGAACCCAAGGCTCGATGAGCACATGGCAAGGTGAGAGAAAATGGATGAAGGGGGAATCGGGGGGAATCCCCATTGGGATCTCCAGAATCTCCAATTGGGTAATTGGAGATTGGGGGGATCACAATTGGGTAACGTTGGGATTTGTGAGTACACCCCAACCCACTAGAACATTCCTAACCAAAAAAAAGATATAACAGTATAAATACAAAAGTGGGATTTGCAATCTATTTCTAACACACCCCCATGGACTGCAAACCCGGTCAAGGAGCACATAGCCCCATGGAACGGAGAAGACGATGGTGGTCAGCCTTGCCGAGAGCCTTGGTAAAGAGGTCGGCGAGGTTGCAATCTGAGGCGATGTACCGTACCGTCAGCTGGTCACTCTGAACAAGATCTTGAATGAAGAAATGACGAAGTTCGATGTGCTTGGTGCGAGAGTGGAACACAGGATCCTTGGTGAAATGAATGGCGCTCTGATTGTCACACCACAGGGTGGGCGACTGCTGGGGGTAGCCTAACTCAGCGAGGAGAAAGGAGAGCCAGCGTGCCTCTTGAGCAGCCATTGTGCCTGCATAGAGCTCGGCCTCGCAGGACGACAGGGAGACTGCAGAGGACCGAATGGAGCGCCAGCTGATGACTCCTCTACCAAGGGTGAAGCAGTACCCTTGGGAGGAGCGTCTGTCAATCTGGTCATCGGCCCATGAGGAGTCTGTGTATCCTTCGAGCTTGACTGGAGAGGTACCACCGAGCGTGAGGATGTGAGACTTGGTGGCTTGTAGATAGCGCAGGACCCTCTTGGCTGCAGACCAATGGGAGGCAGTGGAGCATCCGGGGAAGACATACCGAGAGAGGACACTAACCGGGTAAGCCATGTCTGGTCGAGTGCACATCATAGCATACATGAGTGAACCGACTAGCTCAGGGTACGGGTCCTTGCAGGAGTCTGAAGATGGAATCGGAGGGGCCGTGAGCTGATGCTGTAGTGGGAGTGGAGTGGAGACAGAGTTACTGGAGTCCATATCGAAATGCTTGAGAAGGTTGTCGATGTAGGACTCCTGGGAGAGGGTGATCGCGCAAGCTTGGCGGTCACGAGTGATCTCCATGCCCAGGTAGTTCTTGAGGTCACCAAGATCCTTGATGAGAAGGGCGGAGCTGAGAGCAGACTGGACAGCTGCCATCTCGGCTGGATCTCTGGCGACTAGAATGAAGTCGTCGACGTAGACGAGGATGTAGAAGGGCTCGGAGGAGTGACAATGAAGAGACTAGAATCTGAGGCGGAGGGATGGAAGTCCAGTGCAAGGAGGACTTCCTTCACCTTGTTGTGCCACTCACAAGGAGCCTGCTTGAGGCCATACACTGGGTGCTTCAGCTTCCACACTGTGTTGGCAGGCTAAGTGCCAGGAAACCACGGTGGGCGTTCTATGTCAACATCCTCTTTGAGCTGGCCTTGGAGAAAGGCGTGTTGGTTAGAGAAGGCTATAAGCAGATGATTCAATGGCTCCTTGGAAATTTCTGCAGCACTTCGTTATGACGCCCAGAAAACTTGCGACCTTCGAATAGCTATATCCAAAACTCCAATCGGTGAAACGATCTGAAAATCGGATATGTTGTAGCTGGCAGCGTCAGCTTTCCACTCAAAGTTGAATCACTCGATTCTGTAGCTGAACGAGCGAGCTATGGCGTTTGGCGCACTGGGGGGTAATCTGCCCTAGGAGAAGTTGACAGTCCTCAGAGTCACTATAATTGAAGCTTACAAGATCAGAGGCATGATAGAAAAGGCATTGAAGCACAGTTGGAAGGTGGGGTAGGAAGGGAAGGATGAAAGGGAAGGACCCTGTAGGCCCATGGTCAAGAACATGACAAGAGTCAAAGTTTTGACTCCCCATCCTCAGGTTCAGCCAGCCTGGCAAGACAAAATTCACACTGTGCCAGGTTGGCCTCCAAACCCCAAATGCTGCAGCTGCAAGGTGGGGACAAAAGTCCCACACATGCTGGTCCCTCCTCGTTATAGGGCTCCCCAACTTTGGTGTAGCAGCTGACAAGGACTTCCAATGAGTTGTAACAAATCCATCAAACATTTCTTCGTAACTTCTTCATATGTGCTCCGATTCCAACAATTCTTGGCTCGTTGGAATGTGCTCGATGTCATGCACAATCCAAGCACATCTGCACAAGCACAAGATGAACATGCAAAGACATGCAAACCCAACAAACCATACAAACAACGTAGCACACAAAACACATGCAAACGAAATGATGCGAACAGACGACAGGATGACGTGCAAATGAATATGCACCAACACACTCCCCCTCAGACTGTCGGCTTGTTTCGCCGTCTCTAGTTCAAGGACATTCCCGCCATCCTCGAACAGCGCCAGTGTGGCTCTTCAGCTAGCCGCTTGGTAAGGAAATCGGCTGGCTGTTGCTGAGTTTTCACGTAGATCGGATCCAGTGTCCCAAGCTTCACCTCCTTCCGCAGCCAATGCCACTTGATCCTCATGTGCTTGTTCAACCCATGAAGAACTGCATTGCGTGCCATGGCAATGGCTCCCTTGCTATCACTGAACAGAGGTGTCGCACAAGTCTGTTCATGGCCGATCTCCTTCAAGAGCCTCCTTAGCCAGATGATTTCTTTTGCCGCATGAAACATCGCCATGTACTCAGATTCCACTGAAGATAGTGCCGTCTCAGACTGCTTCTTGGACCTCCAACTTACAGGCCCACCTCCCACCATGCAGATGTATCCGCCTACTGATGATGAATCCTCATGTTCAGAAGCCCATGTGGCATCAGCAAAACAGGAAAGGAACACCTTTCCTTCTCCGAGCTGCTCCCCCTTCTCTTTGAGGACTTCAACTTCTTTTTGACTGAGTTGAGCAGAGGCTGAATACTGTACTCCCACTGTAGGGTATGACTTGAGGTAGCGCACCACTCTCTCCGCTGCACCACACTGCTCTTCTGTTGGATTTTGCACTACTCGAGCCAGCTGTCCCACAGCAAAGCTGATGTCAGGCCGAGTATGCACAGCAGCGTAGAGTAGGCTCCCCACCATGGATTGGAATTGCCTCTGGTCTTCACTCTCAACTCCTCCTTCAGCTGCCTTTATGAGTTTGAACTCGGAAGGCAAAGGTGTGACCACTTCCCGTTCTTCCTGCAGAGAGTACTTCTCAGCCAAGGTGTTGATGTACTGTCCCTGATGCAGTTTGAGCCAGCCACGTTCAGTATCCCGCTCAATGTGCATTCCCAGGTAGTACCTTGCCTGTCCAAGTGACTTGCACTTGAACTGTTCTGTGAGCTTCCGCTGCACCCCATCGATCTCCTTGTCACTGCTGCTGAAGAGCAGGATGTCATCCACGTACACCAGCAGAAGCACAAGTGACTCCCCCTCTCCCATCAGGAACAGGCTCTCGTCGCATGCACTCGCACGGAATCCAATCCCTTCCAGTGCACTGGCCAGCCTGTTGTACCAGCATCTCGGGGCCTGCTTCAAGCCATAGATGGCCTTGTTAAGTTTGCAGACACGACCGGTTCCATCCTCATAGCCAGGTGGTTGAACCATGTACACCTCCTCTTTCACAATGCCGTACAGAAAAGCGGTTACGATGTCCATCTGCTTCACCTTCCATTTGCGCACAGCAGCTACCGCCAGCAGCACACGTAGCGTTGGAGACTTAGCAGTTGGGGCAAACACTTCTTTGTAATCTTCCTTCTCTTTCTGCTGAAACCCCTTTGCCACCAGCCTGCTCTTGTAAACTGATGGCTCTCCTTTCTCATCCGTCTTGATTTTTGCCAGCCACTTGCACTGTATTGCCTTCTTCCCATTTGGCAAGTACACCAGGTCCCATGTGTGACTCTCCATCTGGCTGTTGTACTCTGCATCTCTTGAAACGAGCCACTTCCCCCGTTGAGGCCCGGCTAGCGCATGATCCATGCTCGGAGGTTGTATTGGTGCGTAAAAGCAGTATGCAGGCTCCTCGTCATCTGACTCTTGGTCATCACCCAAGAACAGCACTGCATCTTCGCCTTGAGCCTGTTCCTGCTGCTCAGTTGTGGCTCCTCCACTTGTGGAGCTCAGCAGCTTTCTCGTTGCCATTCTGGTACGTGCAGGGTAGATGGTTGGATTTACCCATTATTTCACCTTCACCCAATCCTTTGTCCCCCCACCAATCTGTTTCCTTCGCTTTGGCAGACTTGGTGTTTTGGAAGCCTCTTGCTGCTGCTGCTCCGGATCCTTGACTTCAGCATCAGCTGCAATATCCTCATTGCTTCCTTCATCAGTACCGCTTGTCGTTGGCGCAGTGACTTCGCTGTCCTCAGGTTTGGACAGATCGAAGTGCATAGTGATCTCTTCCAGCTGCTGGGTGACCCTTGCCTCCGGCTGCTTCTCCCACTTGCCATACATGATGTTCTCCACAAATTTGACATCCCGACTGTCAAACAGCACATTCTTTGAGGGCTCCCAGAGTAGCCACCCCTTGCTCTCTGCCGCAAGCCCAAGGTGCACACACCAAAGTGCAGATGCTCCAAGCTTTGTCCTGTACGGTTTAGGGACATGCGCCACTGCCATGCATCCGAACACTCGAAGCATGTCCACTGGAGGCTTCTTTCCAAGCCACCTCTCCAGCGGCACCCACATATCATCAGCCACCTTTGTGAGTACGCGGTTCCTTGCCACAGTAGCATGCCTCACCGCATGAGGCCACATGGAGTTCCCCAGCCCTGATTCGATCAGCAGCGCTCGCGCTGTTTCCAGGATGGTCCTATTAGCCCTCTCAGCAACGCCATTTGACTGAGGGGTATAGGACGTCGTTAGCTGATGCTCAATGCCTTGTTTCTTGAGCCACGCAGTCAGATCTCCTCCTAGAAACTCTCCACCTCGGTCGGTTCTGATGCTCTTGCATGGATGCCCAGATTGTCGCTCGACGAACGGCAGCCAATCATCTCGTATTGTTGAGGCAGCATGATCCTTCTGCTTCAACGGGTATGCCCACATCAGCCGACTCCAGTCATCAACTATTGTCAGGAAGTACCTTTCCCCCTTACTTCCTCGGACTGGAAAAGGTCCTACCAGGTCCATGTGCACCAGTTCCAGTGCTGCCTTGCTTTTCCCAGCTACGCCGTGAAAGGGGAACCGTGTGAACTTGCTCAGCAGACACGTCTCGCACTTGGTATCATTTGGTTGCCCAGAAAGCTTCAGCCCCTTTACTGCTTCTTCCTTATGCAGTTGCTGCAGCAATGGCATAGCCACATGCCCTAGACGCCTGTGTGCGGTTTCCCAATCAGTCTCCCCCGACCTTGCAGAAACCGTCACTCCTGCAGCACTAACTGCATTACACTCCCCCTGGACTCCAGATCCCGCCTTTACTTCTCCCAACTCCTTCTTTGTTGATTCCCATATCAGTGCAGGGATCTGCCACATGGATCTGAAGACATCTCTGCTTTCGTGTAAATCCCATAACACACGATCTCCTCGCAGCCCCTTGAATGTTTTGGATCCATTGGTGGTGGTGCTGACTCCGGCCTGGCCTAGCTTGCGCAGCGATATCAGATTGGCCTTCAGCCCCGGTACGAGTAACACGTCCTTCAGCACAACCAGTCCACCATCAGGTGCTCTGAATGCAGCTCGACCAACTCCAGCGACCTTCACTGCATGTCCGGATGCTGAGCGCACTTCAGAGATTGGAGGCGCTCGCACAGCATCCAGCAGGTCCTTGCGTGGTGTCATTGTCCATGCAGCACCAGAGTCCATGACCCACATGTCAAGCGGGTGCAATTCCTCTCCAGCCCTTGCAACAGCTGTGCCACTGTCATCTTTGTCACACACATGGTAGAACTGTCCAGCATTTCTCTCCTCATTTCCCATACCTCTGTCATCCTTGGAGGTTTCTTCAGCAGGATCAGCTACCATGTTGGCACCTCCATGTGGTTGCTTTCCTCCATTCCCCTTCTGCGATTGGTTCCAAGGGGTCCACCAGTCGGGCTTGGTAGGGCAGCAAAACCATGGATGCCCTTCTTCCTTGCAATACCAGCACTCTCCCCTCAAGCGTGGTTCACTGTTGTCATTGTTGGAGTGACCACCTCTTCCTCTTGCACCAGCGCCACCACGCCCCCGCTGGTTCCAAGTCCCGCGACCACCTTGGCTGTGGTAAGAGCGACCGCGATTGCCACGCCCTCGATCCCTCCATGTCCCTTGCATGGCATAGCCGCTGGTGCTGTCATCACCTCCGCGCAGTGTATAGCGACGAAAATCTTCTTCCAGAATCTTGGTGCGAATCCACTCCAATGTCCATTGACTTTGGTTTTGTGGCAAGCTGAGTCCGCTTATAAATTGCAGCCAAGACTCCGGCAGCAGGCTGAGCATCTTGAGACACTTTGTCTGCTCTGGGTACGTGATGCCTGCGATCGCCAATTTCGCGTAGAGTTCCCTCATCTTGTCCAGTACGGGCTGCACAGGTTCATTCTCGCTCAACCGCAGCATGCACAGCTCCCGATCCAGCATGAGAGAAGCGGCAACCGATGTCGGAGCGTGCAGGTCCTTGAGCACTGCCCATGCCTTGGGCCCACAATCAATTTCCGGTAGCAGATGCTCATGTGATGCCTCTGGTTCAGCTCCAAGCTTTGTGACAGTAGATAGTACCCAGCAGATGAACGTTCATCCCAGTCCGCTTGCTCTGCCATTTCCTTTGGCCTTGGCTCCGTTCCAATCATGAGCTTCAAGAGGTCAATTTGTCGAAAGTAGAGCTGCATCTTCCATGCCCAATCATCATAGCCATCTCCAGAGAACTTCTCAATGGTGAAGTTCTTCAGCACCTCCTTAAGCAGTGACCCCTGGCTTGTACGCGCTCCCCTTTGCGCTGCAATGCCAGAATCTTGGGTTGAGCTGCCTCCTTGGACTGAAGTATCACCTCCACCAGAGTCCTCTTTATCTCCCATCGTATTTTAGGTCCCAAATGCGTGATAATAGGCTCTGATACCACTTGTTGGTTAGAGAAGGCTATAAGCAGAAGATTCAATGGCTCCTTGGAAATTTCTGCAGCACTTCGTTATGACGCCCAGAAAACTCGCGACCTTCGAATAGCTATATCAAAAACTCCAATCGGTGAAACGATCTGAAAATCGGATATGTTGTAGCTGGCAGTGTCAGCTTTCCACTGAAAGTTGAATCACTCGATTCTGTAGCTGAACGAGCGAGCTATGGCGTTTGGCGCACTGGGGGGTAATCTGCCCTAGGAGAAGTTGACAGTCCTCAGAGTCACTATAATTGAAGCTTACAAGATCAGAGGCATGATAGAAAAGGCATTGAAGCACAGTTGGAAGGTGGGGTAGGAAGGGAAGGATGAAAGGGAAGGACCCTGGAGGCCCATGGTCAAGAACATGACAAGAGTCAAAGTTTTGACTCCCCATCCTCAGGTTCAGCCAGCCTGGCAAGACAAAATTCACACTGTGCCAGGTTGGCCTCCAAACCCCAAATGCTGCAGCTGCAAGGTGGGGACAAAAGTCCCACACATGCTGGTCCCTCCTCGTTATAGGGCTCTCCAACTTTGGTCTAGCAGCTGACAAGGACTTCTAATGAGTTGTAACAAATCCATCAAACATTTCTTCGTAACTTCTTCATATGTGCTCCGATTCCAACAATTCTTGGCTGGTTGGAATGTGCTCGATGTCATGCACAATCCAAGCACATCTGCACAAGTACAAGATGAACATGCAAAGACATGCAAACCCAACAAACCATACAAACAACGTAGCACACAAAACACATGCAAACGAAATGATGCGAACAGACGACAGGATGACGTGCAAATGAATATGCACCAACAAGGCGGAGGAGGCATCCATGGACTTGATCTCGAAGTTGCCGAAAGCGGCTATATCAAGAAGAGCGCACACAGTTGGGAGCTTGGCCGTGGGCGAGAATGTTTCGAAGAAGTCAACATACTCCTTCTGGGTGAAACCCTTTGCCGCGTAACGTGCCTTGAACAGTGGAGCTTTGCCTGGGAGTTGTTTGACTCGGAAGATCCATTTTCCAGCGACGATGTTAACACCCGAAGGAGGAACGACATCGTCAAAGCTGTTGTTGCGAATGAACGCCTCGTTCTCCACATCTATTACTGCCTTCCACTCCTTCTTATAAGGCCCCGAGGGGGATTCCTCTTTTGTGCGAGGAGTCGGAATGGTCGGGTTCTCGGTGAAGTTGAGGGAAGGGCAGTCAGTAATGTCCGGGAAGATGTGAGAGAGAAATTGGCAGACCGCGTGAAGGTCAAACAGCTCCTCATGCCTGTCCTCCAGAAGTGCCCGGGGTGGAATATGGATGGAGGGGACATCACCCCCGGCAGGAGAAGGTGGAGTGACCGAACACTGGATGGAGAAGGCAGCTGGTACCCAGGCGAGAGGCGGAGCCGGTCCCTTGGAACGAGTGCGACTAGAGATCGGAGACGAAAGCGGCTGCGGTGCGACCGAAGGGACTGGGCGCCTCCGGTAGGAGACTGGTGAGCCAGGCTCGATACGCGGGGAAGGCGGAGCAGGAGGAGGTGCCACAGCGGAGGATATCGGGGAGCCCGGCTGAGACACGCCAGACGGAGAAGGCCCCAAAGAAGGGGCAGCGGCTGGAGGTGGGGCATTCAAGTTTTCCCATACAAGCATCGGGGGAGGTGGAGGAGGCTCGCCCGTGCTCGCAGAGTAGAATGGGCGTGTCTCATCGAAGACGACATCACGGCTGCGAATCAGCTGTCTGATGATGGGGTTGAGGAATATGTAGTCTGGGGAATCGGAGTTGTGCCCCAGGTACATGCTGGTCTGGGTTTTGGGACCAAGCTTGCCACCTTGCTTCCTGCGCGTGTGGGGGCTGAGCAACACATACGCGGTACACCCCCGGATGCATATAGAGCGAGCGGAAGGCGTGGCCCCAAGCCAGAGAGTGGTAGGTGTGGTGTCGGGCCGGTGGGAATGCGGATAAAGATTGTAGAGGAGTGCCGCATCGAAGAGGGCATATCCCTAGAGTGACTGTCGTGCGTTGGCGTGACTGAGGAGGCAGCGAGCGATCTGAACTAAGGTGTGGTTGCGGCTCTTTGCAATGCTGTTCTGCTGTGGGCTTTCAGGGAGCGTGAAGGTTTGCCGAATCCCTTGGGCCGCACAGAAGTTATCGAATTTGCCATTGCGAAATTCTCCCCCGCCATCAGAATGGAGGCACTTCAGAGAAGTGCCGAACGTGACTTGAGCCTGGCGCACCCACGCCATGATGTGGTCAGGTGCCTCCGCCTTGGTATGCAGGAGGTGCACGGAAACATACCGCGAGTGGTCATCGACTAGTGTAAGAAAGTACCGATGACCGCCTCGGGATGCGACTGGAGCTGGGCCCCAGACATCCATGTGCACTAGGTCCAGCAGAGCAGCTATAACGGATGGGGATGAGGGTTGCAGCTGCTGCCTGAGCTTGCTCTTAGTGCAGTCAAGGCAGGTGGGTGCAGGTGAGTCTGTTGGTGGAGGAAGCACCGACAGGAGGGCAAGAAGAAGTTTCTTGGAAGCGATGTCGGCAAGCGTACGGAAGTTGGGGTGACCCAAGCGATGGTAGTAGAGGATGGTTGGGTTGGCGAAGCTGCGACAGGAACACTGAGTGGTGTTGGCAGCTTGCGCTTGGGAGAGGGCGGCGAAAGGTGCAGGTGAACGCAGCGTGTAGAGCTTGCTGCTGTTGAGTGTGAAGCGTGCTAGGAGCTTGTTGGACTTAGGATCGAGGAGGTCACAGTGATCCGAGTGTGCTGAGAAGATCATGGTCTTGCCTGCCCGTTGGAGCTCGTGTTGGGCCACGAGATTGTGGCGTAGTGTGGGAACACACATGCCAGTGACACTGCCCAAAGGGAAAGCTGGGAACGGAACTGTGGAGGAGCCCTTGGCGTGTGTTGTGAAACTGGAGTCTGCTCCTAGTAGAGGGATTGGTGTCTTGCATGGCTTGAAGGAGTGTTCTTCCTTGAGAACTGTGTGAGTGGCCCCACTGTCGAGGGTGAACTCTATTGTGGCTGAGGTGCTTTGTGAGCCGGGACACTGCGAAATTGTCTCATTGATTATGGCAGTGCCAGGGAACAACATGTTGAGGCGCACATCAGCAGGGGGAGCTACAGCAGCCTGCACGGATTCCTGCGCTTCGACTTGATTGACCTTGCGAGGAGCACGATTGACCATCCAGCTTGGCGGCTTCGAGGTGGTCCCATTGATGGCATACCACTCGTTGTCCTTCTTCTTGAAGCACGAGGAGAGGGCGTGGTTGGTGCTGCCACACACCTGGCCGGCACGAGGTCTGTACTTGATGACGTAGGGACACGGGGGGAAGCGGTTGCGGTAGAATGGTTCCGAAGCGGCATAGGCTTAAGGCACGAGAGCGCGGATTGCATTGGCCTTGGCTTGAGCTCTGTTGTCCTTTTCGGCAGAAAGGAGCGCGGATGAGACCTTGGCAAATGTGAGGTCCGCAGGAGCAAGGCCCAAGAGCATCTTGCGTGTGACTTTGTATGCCGGAGTGAGGCCGACTAGGAGAGCGGCTGCAGGGGCTTGCTCGGGGAAGACTATCCCCAACTGCTTGAGTTCACCATGAATGGACTGCACCTTGGTGACATAGTCCGCCATGCCTGGCGAGTCCTCAAGCCGCACTTGGAACATGCTGGAGATGAGTATAGCAACTCCCACTGCAGTCTTGTTTAGGAAGCGGTCCTCGAGGTAGAGCCAAATGGCGTTAGCAGACGAGTAGTTGTGGTAGGTTTTCGACGAGTTCGGGAGGAGTGGTGCCCATGAAGACACTAATGACCGCGCCATCGGCCTTCTCCCAATTCTTGTACTTGAGCAGTGTAGCAGCATAAACTGCTTCGGCGGTGGCATTAGCTGGATCGACGGACCTCTCGGGGTTAGGAGGCTCTTTGCCGTCACCGATGTTGAGAAGGACGTCGGTGAGCTCGAGCCCCTTCACCTTGCGACTGAGGAGGTGCTTGTTGACACCATATCGCCTAGCCTTGTAGTTGGAGCATGTACCGTCTGGCTCGAGACGAAAGAGCGGGATCGGGTTGGCGAGTGAAGTGGTTGAGTAAGCCATTGCTGTTGATTTTCGCGAAGCGACACTCTTAAGTCACCGACAGGAACTTTGGTGTGCAGCACGGCACTTCTGGAAATCGGTTGACGAGAATAGCTGAAAATCACTCGGATGGCTTCATCGAAATGCCGCTGAGAAGGAAATGGCGTCGGCAGAAATTTGTTAAAACGCCGACTTGAAACTGAATCTGAGACTATGTCTAACCTCGGACCCACACACCCCCCCACACACCCCTAGGCCCTATTCCGCAGCTACACAGCCTCGCAACCAGCTCCGCAACCAGCTCCCCTCCGCTTCCACCTGTGTTCCTGCTCTTGCTTGATGCAAGACGTTCGTTTAGGCGATTCCGTAAGGGGAGTTCGCCTATTCTGGCGGGGTCCGAGGGGAAACTCGAAAACGAGTTTTAAGAGATGGTCGAAATTGAGATTCGACCAAGGAGAACCGAAGAGGAAACCGATGATGGGAAGCGTGAAAGCTTTTGAGTTGAGAAATTCGACGAGGTGGAGCGTGAAGGCGGTCGACGATGAGAGGCGCGACTGCCGCGTGGAGCACGTTGAAAATTCTGACGACTCGAGACGAATGTCGCAATGATAAAGTGCGCGTAGCGCGGGCACGTTAAGACTAGGACCTTGATCCGCGTGTCCAAGATTCGCAGAAGATCCGATACGCCATGTCCCTCTTACATGGACCTGCGATAGATTGGTGGTAGCAGATAATATAGCCATAGGAGCTGGATACGATGCCGCGCATTATCGGGCATTTTCGCACAACCAACTACTAGGCAGGAATTTTTTTGCAAGGTGGAAGAGTACAGCATGTGTCATTCGAGGTGCGTGGGAGTTCATTGTCGCTTTGAACACGTCAATGCAAGCAGTCAGGCGCGCAACCGCCTTCGCATGTGGTGCCAATTCGGATCGGTCCAGGACTACACCAGCAGCTTCAAGAACCTATGCGACCAGGTCAGCTACATTCAA